GGATCGACCATGAATGATTCCCAATTGAAGACGTATATTCGTGTGTATATGTATATGTATGTGTATTTTTTCATATGTTCCTAAAATAGAGAGCCCCAGGGAGGAGGCTTCTCATTTCCTATGACATAGCAAATCAATAACAACTCCTCGTGTGTCTAAAGTGCTTTATGGTCTGTAAAGCAGATTCTCATAAATTTTCTAGTTTGATTCTCACAATGATCCACCGGGGAGGTAGAGCAAATTTTACAGTCCTCATATTACAGTTCGGGACTCTGACCCACAAAGTTGTTCTAGCTTATTTGAGATCCCATAGTGGGATCCCACAGCTGGGTCTGTCTGCAGATATATAGTCTCCAAATCTAGGGTTCAGCTCACCACTCACTCTGACCACTAGCTCTACTAAAACCCATTAGTCTTGATCAAAGGCACCCAACTTAACGTAAATATTGAAAGAACATTTATGAACCTCTAAACAGAATTCTCAATCCATCTTCAAAAGACAGGATTTGAGTCAGGTATAGTGTTACACACCTCCAATCCCAGATACTTGGGAGGCTGAGGCAGGAGGATTGCAAGCTGGAGGTCAGCCTTGTGATTTAGTGAGATCCTGTTTCAAGATAAATTTTTTTTTAAAAAAAGACTAAGGGTGTAGCTCAGTGCTAGAGTGTTTCCCTTGCTTGTAAGAGGTCCTGTGTTCAATCCCCAGTGCAGGAGGGAAAAAAAAGAGACAAGTTTGCCAGGAAAGCCAAGCGTGCGCTGACTTCCATTGAGGATGATAAGGTGTGCAAGTTAGAGCCAACTGATCTGATTCCACCTGGAGCTACCACTGTGGTCTGTTTGACCATGTCACAATGCTCACTTCGTTTTTCAGGGACTTGGACATCTCTCAAGTAAGCACAGGGTGTGTGTTTGTTAAAGATGCTGATACAGCAAAGGAACATTACCCACATCCGGGCCTCAAGGATTTCCTGCAGGTAGGGGCTTGCGAGGTCTTCACCTTGATCCCCTGCTGTGGAGCCAGCAGAAAGGGCTTAGGAAGGCACACTGTTGATAGGGAGAAAGGACACATCAGGCACCGCTCCCTCTTCCCCACAGCAGATGATGTTTATGAGCATTCTTTTGGCAATGTGACCTAGAACAGCCCCATGAGAAGGCCCAGATGATGTAAGAAGATTACTGGCAAACACTGGGTGCTTCAAGTCAGACAAACAGGCTTCTTAGTTACCCATGGTAAATACTGATAATTGTGCGTTCATCTTTGTTTTATGTCAGAGGCAGGGTTCCGGGGTTCATTCCCAACTGTAGTTGTCTCTGCCAAGAAGATACCATTGGCCACTGTATTAGTTTGTTTTATGTTACTATGACAAAATACCAGAGGCAGACTAACTTTATAAAGAGGTTTGTTAAGCTTACAGTTCTGGAGGTTCAAAGCAGCATGGCACAGGCTCTGGGGAGGGTCCTCTTGGCTGCATCACATCATGGAGGATGGCAATGGTGGGAGCACATGCAAGGGAGAGATTATAACTCAAAACAGGAAGCCAGAGAGAGCTGAGGTCCCACAGTCTCTTCCAGATTCAGGCCCTCAATTGACCCAAGAACCTCCCGCTAGGGCCCCACTACCTCTTAAAGCTCCCAACACCTGCCACCACTGCCACACTGGGGACCAAGCTGCCAACATATGACACTTTGAGAGGACAAACATCCAAACATGGCAGCCACCTTCTGCAGGTGCCACAGCTTGCCTCCTGCCATATTCTCTGGGGTACTTGCTGGGGCTTCTGGAGCATGGGCCAAGAGACCACTATAGGAGACGGGTTCTACCATTCCTTGTCACGGGGTCTCGGGCAAGGCGATTACCATGTCTGAGTTCCAATTCCTCAACCGTGAAGTGGAGATCAAAGTGTCTGTTCTTCCTACATAGGCAGGTGGGGCAAAGGTGATCACGTGTGCGAAGGAGCATTTTTTTCTCTAGGATTTTTTTTCAATTTGATGTCTTTCAAATCATGAAAGTATAACCCATTGGCTGTAGTAGTTCAAACAGTTCAAAGACATAAAAAAGGAAGAATTCCACCATTACTAACTTTTAGTCCTACCCTTCTGAGCTATCCAGAGTCTTTATACTTATAAGCTTTTATGCGGCTCATATAAGCATCTGTAGGTCAATGCACACATTTACTGGAGTTTGGAGTTTATTTCATTTTATTAAAATAGAATCATTCCAAACTTATGGCCCTGCAACTTTCTTCTTCATTTGGGAATAGAGCATAAATATCTCTATAAATCTGTGGGTATAAATTTAGCTTAGTCTTCGTTTTCTTGATTTTTTAAAATACGTGCATACATGTATATTTTGTGTATGAAAGTGAAATACGAAATCATTTTTTTACAAACATTTTCCTCTACTCCCCCCGCTACCACTTGTCACCCTTTCTCTATGTATCCTTTATACTTTCCTTCATGTTCATATCATCAAATATTTATAAACATATGTACTCCTCTGAGAGTCTCCTTCGTTGTTTGTTTCAAAAATGAAATAGACGCATCCTTGTCTTATGTTACTCAATGAAAGCTCATGAAAATACTTTAACTGGTTTAGTGTGTGATTTTTTTTTTAATGACTATGTTATTGTATGGAGGCACTTTTGAGCTGGTAGATATACAGCTACCAGCTCTGACTGCAAGTGCTTGCTAATACCTGTGCCCTAAATATCCCCACTCTGGTTAATTTCAAACTTCAAACATGTTGGCAGTGGAGGTGGAAAGAGATGTGCACAGCATCTCTGGAGAAGTTTCCAGAAAACTACTGGAAAGAAGTTCCACTTAGAATTTTTCTCTCTACTGATGAGCAGTCATTGTTTCCAAAAAGGCAGATGTGTTAAAGCTGTCTTATAGCTATAGTCTTCAAATTGATGAGTTTATGTCTGTGGGCTGGATTCCCCTGGAGTGAGGCTGTTGGTTCATAATGAATGCAGATTATTTAAAAAAAAAAAACCTTAGTAAGTGCTGCTAGATTGTTTTTTCAAACAGCCTTCTTAAAAGAACAGTTACAATTACCTTTCTGCCAGTAATACAGAGAGCACTCTCTTTCCCAGGGTATCTGAGAGGGATTGGTAATTRTGTTCTTTCATAATTTCTGCCAGTTGAGTGGATTTAAAGGGGGAACTTGTTTGTGGTTATTTATTTTGTTTCCCTGACCACAGTCACATTTGAACAGCATTTCATGTTTTTTGGACATTTAGATTTGGCAGGTCAGCACATATCCTGGGTGCTAAACTGGGGGTGTAATTTAGTATAACAGTGTAAAAAGGCCCTGGCTTTGATCCCCAGCACTCCCCACTCCACCACCCAAAACAGACACCTGGAGGACTGGGGATATAGCTCAGTTGGTAGAGTGCTTGCATGACACGCACAAAGCCATGGGTTTAATCCCCAGACCCCCACACTCCTGCCCATCCCCCCCTAAAAAAACCCCCAGATACCTGGCTTAACATCATAGCTCTGCCACTTCTCTGTGCTTCAGTTTCCCCATATGCAAAAATTTAAATTATGAATAAAATTGCACAGAGCTGTTGAAAAATTAAAAAAATATGTAAAGTCTGTAGAGTGGTGCATACACCAAGTACAAAAAAGTATTATCTACTCTATTCTATAAGCCTCATAGTTTAGACTTTGTTCATTTTACCAGTGGCTGGTTTGCCTTGATGATCTGTTAGCACTGTTTATATGTGGATCTTGGTTCTTGTTATTTGCATTGCAAACATATTTCCAAATTAGTTAGTGGTCCCCCTAGCAATCTCTATTATGATACTTTTTGCCACTTTAAAAAAGCATGTTTTTTTTTTTTTAACATAGTCAAGTATCTAATTTTTTTTTTAAAAGCACATCTGGATGTTCTGGTTTGGCTAAGAATGTCAGGCATAGTCTCTGGATTTTCCTTAAAAGTATTTATTGCTTTATCTTTCCCTCTATCCAGTTCTTGTTTTATGTCTGTTAGTATGTCGTCAGAGGGGTCTTCATGGAGGACCTCTGTCTTATATTTATTAGCAAAGTTTTCATAGATTTTTGTCATTATTATATGTGGATTTCTTCTAAGATTTTTATTTTAAGTACTTATTATGACAAAGAAAATAGCTACACACACACACACACACACACACACACACACATGCCACACACACGCACAGTTGGCCCTCTGTATCTTTGGAGTCTTCTTCTCCTCCCTCACCCCCACTCCCCACCCTCTTCTCCTTCTTCTTCTTTTTGTCCTTTTTTTAAAAAAAAATTTTTAGATAGGGTTTCTCTGTATTGCTTAGTTTGGTCCCAAATGGTCCTCCTGCCTCAGCCTCCAGAGTAGCTGAGGCTCCAGGCCACACCCTGCGAAATCCAGAGTTTTTTAATCACATCTATACTGAACATTCACATTTCTTGTTATTTCCTAAACAAAACAGTAAAACAAACATTAACATAGTATTTACATGGTGTTAAGTATTGTAAGTAATGTAGGGATTATTCAAAGTATACAGTTGTATACAAATACTGGACCATTTTTTATAAGTGATTTGAGTATTTGGGGATTGGGCTATCTCTGTGGTTGCTGGAATCATTCTCTCCTGATACCAAGGAACAACTACAGACTCTCTTTCTGGTATTAGTGGTGTTGGTGTCTGAGTTCCACAATACTTTTGTATTTAGCTATATTCCCAAACTCTCCTATTAATTCTAGTAGTTTTTAAAATTGATCTCTCCCCCAGCCCCACACCAGAAGTGGCTCATGGAGGATGAGCCAGGTGGCCGTGTGACAAAGGAGTGAACTTGTTGAGTCAGCCACCACCGTCAGCCACCAGTCTAATCCTGGGAGTGTACACAGCTCAGAATAATCCTGGCCACGGAGCAGGAGAACTGGAATATTTATACCCACATCCATTAGTCATCCTCTGGTGGCCATCCTGGGGTGGGAAGCCATCGTGCCTCTCCTGCCTTTACGTGAAGTGTCTGGAGGGCAGAGGAGAACAGAGCCTAGTTCTTAGAGTCTCTTGGTCCCAGGCAGTTACCTACCCTGAACTGGAAATTCAAGGTAGGTAACTGCCTACTTTAAACTTTATATGAATTTTGCATTCTACTCTCTCTTTTTTATCAAGCACATAATGATTGAAATAATTCCATAATGAGGGTTTTTACATAAAATAACAGCCATCACGGACCTTTCAGGAAGATGCCCTATATGCACCTCCTGACCATTAGTGGCCCCGTACCCATGTGGTCAGCTTGGGGACGCAGCTCAGGGGCACTGTGGGAACCGCCTCCTCACCTTGCCCCCACTCTCTGGTGCTGTGCTCTTATCCCAAGCACAGAATGGAACTAAGCTGCGTGCTCCAAGGCCAAAGCCCAACTCTTCACCTCCCTTTCTCCCTTGTTTCCGTTACAGTCCTTCCCAAGGGCAGAGCTCTGTGAGCACCAGTGACGTTTCCTGGTGGACCGTCCCCTCCTCCTCCTAGGTACTGGCCCACTGAGCACCCCGTCTCCATCCCCGTCTGCCCCAGTTCACTTTATGCCGGCTCTTCCCAGAGAATGACTGTGTCCTAACAGCCCCCAGGTCCCCATTCCTGCCTCCTCCACCTCTGCTGTCACTTGGATCTGCTCCTGAGAGTCCTTGGCCGACTGACTCCCATCACCTGCAGACCTGCAGGACAAGAGCTGCTAATGAAGCCTAAACCGTCTTTCATTTCAGTCCCCTGTCCCTACCCTCCTTCCCTCACTCTGCACAGTCCAAGCTTCAACCAATTTCTGTCCATTCCTAAATATTGTCACTAGCCGGCTCCAACTGAAATGACACTGCATTCTTCAAGACCCAGGTGACAGGCCTCTTTTCCTTGATCTTCCTTGACACTGACTGGCTCTCGCCCTCACCCTCCAGAGCTCATTACTCCTTTTCTGTTTCTATTCCACTGTGTTCGCATTTGTATTCTAGCCAGCATATGAGGCTTCTCTCTCTCGGTCTGCCTCACTAAGAGACCCCCATAGCTTTAAAGAGGAAGCTCTGTATCTTATCTTTGTTTTCTATGCCCTGGACAGTGCTTGGGACAAAATAGCATTTCGAAATATTTGAAGGCCACCCTGGGAAGGTAGGATGGATGTCGATCTTTTCTTTTTGGGGGCTCCACTTCTTTGAAGAAGTTTTTCCGTGCTTGAACTGTCTCACCAGATGTGCCAGAGAGGTCAGTCTGCTTTACCAGGGACCCAGGGAGCTAGCACACAGAGCTAAGACCCAGACTCTGCCTATCAGATCCCTTGTGTCAAACCACAGTGTGGGGACGGTGTGGTGGAGGTGTCTGCGGTAGTCTCTAATGCCTGGGGTCACACTGTGAACTGGGATCTCAAGTCTTGTGGAATGTTTCCACCTGTCCCTGATTCAGGAAAGTCCATGAGATCCTCTTCATGTCCTTCAATATGGTACCCTCAAACGATTAAAAAATTTCCCATCCCTCAAGGACCGTTACTTTTGCAAAATATAATAAATGTGCATTGCTAGAGAAACAACAGACGAAAATCCAATAAAAAGTTGTCAAAACATACAAAATGCAAACACGGACTTTTATCATTAATTCAACAACATGCAATTATTCTGTCAAGTTGCTATAAATGTTTTTGACCACTTATTTGCAATGCATCATGGGTTGGTGACAAACCACATGTAGATGGAAAGGGACTATAGCTCATGCTTTGAGCAGGTAAATTCCTTTTGGGGAACTGGCCACAGTCGGCTCTGTGAAGAGCCTGAGAAGCCCAGTAGACAAGGTGGATGCTGTTTCTTTCTTATAATTAAGAAAACTTAGGATCAGTAACAGGTTAGAGGGTAACCGAGTGGGGAATACTCAGAATTGATATTTAAATAAAGAGAATGTTCAACAGGGAAATTACTTGCATATACTTCTATGTTTAATATCTACATGTGTGACCATAAAGGACCGAAAAATAAGGACACTGGGGTCTCATAAAGTTGCAGGTCACTAAGGGAATTTTTGCAGTGGCCACAGGGAGCTGTCTTCAGGTGTGGACTGAAGAAAGGCTAGCAACTGGCAACCTCATCCCTGGACAGCAGCAGCTGAGGGCAGGGTGGGTACCAGGGCTAATGTCCTGGCCACCCAATGCCTGGACCTGTGGGCACCTTTCCTCTCCTTGGGTGCTGGGGAGAAGAAGAGTAACTGCCAAAGGCTCTGTCTCTCCTTTGGCCTTAGGAACTGCCCCGTGGCTTGGGGTCACCAAGTAGGCACTAGGGAAATGGTCAGGTCCAAACAAGAACTCACTCTCCACCCTGGCGTGGAGCACGGTTCCAGGTGCAGGAGACACCAGGAAAGAACACCATGGCCACCCGGGAAGGGCTCATATTCTGGGGAGTGAGATGCAATAAGTGACAAGCCTAATAAAGAATTGATGGTTATGTGACCATCAATTATGTGAATACACCTAGTAACCCTGAGAATGCACTTAAAAATGGTTCTCATGGTAAAGTTTATGTCTATTTTTTACCACACTCAGATAAATCATCTTTTTGAAAAAAATAACTTGTAGGGGGTGGGGTGCCTTTCAGCAATAGAGTATGCATTTAGCATGCAAAGGGCCCTGGGTCCAATAGCCAGCGCCAATAATGAGAATAAAGTAACAATACGGATAATAGTAAACTATGTGATTGGGTACCTCTTATCTGAAGTGCTACAGATTTGGGGATATTTCTGATTTTGGATTTGGGGTGAGGGATGTTCAACCTGTGATACGCTTGAAGACGATTCGTGCTATAGGAAAGATGCGACAGAGCAGGGTAGAGGCATGGGTCACAGGGGTTTGTAAATCTTGTAAATCAATAGGGGAGCTTTTCAGTTGTAAAGGCAGCTGCCAGCAAAGCCTGTTCTGGGCGGGGGTATGGTTGAGAAGGGTTTCTCCTGGTTGGGCCTTGAAGATGTGAATGAGAATGTTTTAGACCCTTGAAGGCAAATTTGGAAAATGGAAAAACAATAGAGAGTTATTTTTGCAACCTCATTGAATATTCAGTTTGTCACAGGTTTTGTTTTTGTTTTTTTAATCTCATTCCTGGGGTTTGAAGTTCAAGTTAACAATCTTGTCATTCTGTTTTTAAAACTAGTTTTGTTTTTCCAGGGCTGGGGATGGAACCCAGGGCCTTATATATACTAGGCAAGTGCTCTACCATGGAGCTATACCCCTAGCCACCAAATTAGTAAATTTTAACAATTGTTGTCAAAAGAATGTCATAATTTAGTAGATGACAATTTAGTAGATTGGAGTACCCTACTCCAAACTGTGATGCCTCGATATATTGAATATTTTAAGCTGAAGGAATCTGAGTGTGTGTGGGAAGGGCTCTCTGACCTCCCGTGAAGAGGTCATAAGACCCTCTGCGAGAGGTGTCCTCCCTGATTCTGAGGAAAGGGGCACCCTCATCTCCGTAGACACAGGGTTACAGAGAAGCATGTGAGCTGCCTGCAGACTATCACGTCTCCTTTATCCTATTGCATTTCTCTGTGGCCCTCTGAGCTTCATCCAACCTCGCCTTAGGTCAGTCAGGTTTAACTCTTTCTTTGGGTCTTCATTTCCATATGAAGGCTCTAGCATCATGCAAAACTTCAATGAAATAAATGTGCATGTTTTCCTCTTGTTACTGTGAAGCCGAAGTTCTCTGAAGAAGCCAGGTCTATGTGAAAGCTCCTGCAGAATGCTTGACCTTGGCGAGTAGGACATCGTGATTGCAGAGAGATGGAATGTTGCAGGTCAAGAACCAAAATTATCCTGGGTTATCTTAGGCCCTTTAATAGCCATTTACTTTCAACCTCTGCTTCTGACCTAACTCCTTGTGACTATTAGGTAAATCTCACAGAATGTGTCACTAAGCTTTACAGACCTCTTGACTCTCCCCACCCTAAACTAAGATGCTCCAAGGCAACATCTGAAACCTATAGAAGAGGCTTCCCTGCCCGCCTACCTCATGCCCTCACGGTTGTAATTGTTAAATGCATTTATCTAGGACTCACTGTATTCTATAGCTCTGCGCATTCATGTGACCTCTTCTGCAGCAGAACACGTCATGCCATTCGGGGTAACTTGAATCCGTGTTCCAGGGCCAAGGTCCCTTGTATGTGGCTCAGAATAAACTATTGTCTTATTTTCCTAAAGCCCAATTGTTATTTTACATCAACATTATTCTGTCTTTTGTTATAGGGACCTTGGCCATGAACCTAGTTGGGGATGAGGAGAAATATATCTTTGCTTTCCTGTTTCTTGTTACAGGGGCTTCAAACTATGGTACTCTAAAATATGACTGTAAGAGCCAGAATTTGCCACCCCAAATAGACTTCTTTGGTATATTTTGAGCTGGTTATTCTGAGAAGCTGCAGACCTAGGAGTAGCTCTGAAAAGCTGTCCTTTGTAAAAGAAATTCACATCTAATTTTTTTTCCTCTAGGTACTGGGTTTTCTCTAGGTACTGGGAACCCAGGGATTTCTCCATGTTGGGCAAGTCCTCTACCACTGAGCTACACCTCAGCCACAAACTTATATCAAGAAAAGAAATCTACATTAGTAAAAGTAGCTGTTTCAGAAAGAGGCGGCTCCAGACAACTTTTATCATCTGAGAGACTTTATCGGCGTAAGACCACTTTTGTTCATGGTTAGGGTTTGGATAGGAGGTGTCCCCCCAAAGCTTCTGTGTTAATGTGGGAGTATTGAGAGGTATATTGGTTGGATTATGAGAGCTGTGACCTAATCCGTCCATAGCAGTTTGAATGGACTGACTGGATGGTGACCCTAGGCTGTATAACTGGAGGAGGTGGGTCACTGGGGATATGCACCAATGGGAGCATCCTCCCTGCAGTCCCTTCCCTCTTTAATTCCCAGCTGTACCGAGCTGAACAGTATCCTGTTCTGCCTCACCTTGGGCTACAGCAATGGGATCAGCTGACCATGGACAGAACCTCTGAAACCACAAGCCAAAATAAGATTTTCTTCCTATAGAAGCAATGACATTTGGCCCTTCTTGAGTCTTGATGTTTTGTGGGACTCTTATGTCTACGTATGTAATTAAACATATATTTTTTCCTGTTAATCTGTATTATATCAACTTAACTCATAGCCCAGCCAAAGAGCTGAGAGGGCTGGAGGAAGCCGTTTTTCACTCCCCTGTGGTTCTCAGCTAATGCACCTAAGATGGGTAGGAGGAAATTACATTTTTCCTCCTCTACTTCCTTAAACATTTATAAATAATTCTATTTTCTTTTCTTTTTTTAGCACCCCTAGAAGGTTAACAAAGCCTTCCCCAAAATGTAAGTCATTTTTATAAAATAAGTCAAACTTGTAAATATGATGACTCATAAATTCTCTTAGGTATTACAATATTGTTTACCAGCTTTATTCTCTTGCTCTTTTCATCTTAAAATCTTAAGTCTAAATCCATTACTCAATTACCCACCAAATGGGAATAATAAGACTAACATACCAACTTCTCTTAGACATGACTAATAGGATAAATACCAGGTACACATAGATTATTCCTACACTCATATAAAAAGGATTGAGTTTGATTTCTTTCATCATTTTGATACTTGATTCTAGCCACAGAGTGAATGACCCTGACCTATGACCAGACAGTTGTGTCCGATGAAGCTGGAGTTTCCGTCTCAGGAGGCCAAGGTTACGTACTCCTCAGTCTTTTGGCCAGGGGACAGGATTTGACTGTCCTGGTGTGATGCCATGAACTGTAACTGAGACTCTGAGTCACACCAAAACATGCTCAGCTCATTCTTCTTCTGATGAGGATTTTCCACCTACCTCCTCCATGGATGTGGGCAAAGTCCTCTGCTGATTGGTGATTTTACATTTCTTTGAAAAAATTCCTTTGGCTTTCTTAGATAATATTCCTGATTTTTAAAGACCCTTTAAGACAAGACATTGGACTCTCTGTCAAATCTTTATGATTCTTTGGTAACCTTTTAATTTCATTTCCTGACTTGGCAAAACAAAACAAACAAACAAAAACTACTTTCTCCACCACCCCTTGATGCTCATGCCAGATTGGAAATTGTACCCAGGGCCTCCCAGATGCAGGGCAAGCTCTCTAACGCAGACCTACATCTTCAACCTCTTCTATTGTTTTATCTTGAGACAAGATCTTTTGCTAAGTTGCCCATGTTGACCTTGAACTTGTGATCCTCCTGCCTCAGTATCTGGGTTTACAGGCACGTGCCACTTGCTGAATTCTTTTCCCATTCTCCTTTCTGGCAGGTCCATGACTCTTATAGTTATTTTAAAAACATGCAATTGAATGCTTTGACTTTGTGGTCAAGTAGGAGAGGAAAAGATCTTCTCACCAATTGCTAGGTTCATGGATGAGGCCCCTACAGCAAAAGACAGATGAACAGGAGGAAAGCATACAAATCTATTTATTCTAAGTTGTACATGACACAGGAGCCTTTGTAAGGAAGGAACACCTCAAGAAATAGGGAGACCTGTATTTTTTATGCTAGATTTAATTAAAAAATGAGTAGATGCAGAGAAGCATGATTGGATAAAACTATGATCTAATGGTAGTAAAGTCAGGGAATTTAGCAAAGCCAGGTTCTTCTCTGTGACCCTGTGTCTCCAGAGGAAAAGCACGTTGCTTTCCTCCAGGTACAGAGAAAGAAGTCGCCTCTTGAAGGAGGATCTTATGACCTGCTTCAGAGGAAAAGGGTGGAAGAAATTAAGAGCGTGATCTTCCTAAGTTTTATGATCTGCTTCAGGGAGAAGGGAAGGGGGAGGTGAGGGTGGCCTTCCTACTTCTGCTATTTTCTCAAATGTCAAGTTGCCATATTTGGGGGTAGAGGGTCCAGAACCCCATGATTCACAGCATTAACATCACACTAAAGGCAAGGGAATCAGCTCTGTTACTCCTGAGGGGTTCTTCTTTTAAAAATGACTTAATATTAATAGATAGTACATGTGCACACTCAAACATTCAAAATCATAAAAGAGCAAAGAACAAAAAGGAAGCTTCCATCTCTCCTTCTTCTGCAGCCGCTTAGAGCTTCTTTCTGCAGGCAAGCACTGTGATCGTAGTTTGCCCCTCTTTCTGAAGATACTCTGTGCCCTGCAGGAACATACACGGGCACATGCACACACACCCGTAGGAGAGCCCTGGTGGCATACCACACAGCACCCTGCTCTGCACCTCATTTGTTTGTTTGTTAACAGTATATGTTGGTGATGGATCCTTAGCAATACACACAAAGTGACTCAGGAGGCTGAGGCAGGAGGACCACAAGTTCCAGGCCAGCCTTCACAATTGATTGAGGCCCTAGGAAATTTAGTGAGACCCTGTCTCAAAATAAAAAATAAAAAGGGTTGGGGATATAGCTTAGGGGAAAGAGCCCCAGAGTCCATCCCCAGTAGCAGACCCCCCCCCCACACACACACACAAAGAAGAAGAAGAGAAAAAGAAAGGTTATATTATACTCAAGATGGCCAAGAACAATGGTGGAATGTAACTAGGTAGAACCATCCTACCTGCTCTGGGCCACCGACCTCTGGAATTCTTATTAAACAATAAAAGACACTTAAAAAAAATTTTTTTTGTTAAAGTCAGAACAGTCAAGCTTCTGTTACATGCAGAAGAATCAATTCTAAATTGATTCAGAGTTGAAAAATGCTGTGATTAAAAAAACAAACAACTAAAAAATAACTGACCCTATTCTCTTTTTTCCACATATGAGAACATTATCTATAAGTTACATTCCTATAATTTTGAACTACTGGGTCAAAGGGTACACGCATTTTTCACTTTGATTGGCATTGTTGGATTTTTCTCTGTACAGGTCGTACCATCTCGGAGACTCCTTAATGTGGGTGTGCAGGGCAGGAATCCTCCAAATGAAGCCTTCCGGACATATAGGATCAAAAGCTTAACTCTGTTTTAGAATTTCTCTGGGTGAAATCATTTTCTTTTCTTCTTTAGAAGTAGAAAGGCTTCAATAGTCTGTATAACAGCACAAGACACTAAGATTCACTTACTAATTGAGAGGGATGTATCAAAGGAATACCAACAAGAACTCCGTGCTCAGAACGGGCCTTAAGGCACATTCAGATACAAATCATAGCTCCTTTATCAGATAGGAATTATAGTTCTTTTAGCAAAGACCTGAATCCCTCCTTTTCTGACATATTATGATATGGTTTGGATAGGAAATGTCTCCCCAAATTCATGTATTGAGGGCGTGGTCCCCAAAGCAGCAATGTTCAAGCCATGTGGAGTTTTGGGGAAGTGACTGGATCATGAGGATGCTAACCTCATCAGTGGATTGATCCATGGATAGCTGAATGATCTACTGAGGGGTGACGGAAGCTGTATGTCATGGAATGTCACTGGGGGCATCCCCTGCAAGGATATTTCTTGTTCCCAGTGCTTCCCCACCCCCCATTTTCTTCCTTTTTCTCTGCTTTCTGACTGCCATGATATGAGCAGCTCTGCTCTACCATGCCCTCTCCGCCATGATGCTATACCTCATCACTGATCCATAGTAACGGAGCCGACTAATCATGGACGGAAACTTCTACAACTGAGAGTCAAAATAAATCTTTCCTCCTTTAAATCGTTTTTTTTTTTTTCCAGGTGTTTATCATTGACTAAGACAACAGGCTACTGACATAATTAAACCAACTTATTTTAGGCACCTGTTGGGTCTTAGATACCAAGCCTGGGGCTGAAAAGATAGAGATACTGAGTTGAACTGTGTCCTCCAAAAGATGTGTTCAAGCCCTAATCCCTGGTACCTGTGAATGGAATTTTATTTGGAAATATGGTCTTTACAGATAAAACCATACTGGATTAATGTGGTTCTTAAATGCAGGGTCTTGTGTCTCTATAAGAAAATAGAAAAAGAGATTTAGACACAGAGTCACAAAGGGATGAAGTGCACATGAAGACACAGGCTGAGATTGGTTATGTTGACACAAGCCAAGGAAAGCCCAAGATTGTTGGGAACCACAAACCAGGAACCAGAAAGAAGCAAGGAAAGATTCTTCCCTGGGGCCTTCAGAGAGAACATGGCTCTTCTAATGTCTTGGTTTAGGACTTCTCGTTTCCGGAAGAGTGAAAGAAAATTTTTCTGTTGTTTGAAGCTCCCCAGTTTGTGGTCCTTTGTTGTGGCATCCCCAGCAAAAAGACAGATAGCAGAGTTGAGCTCCTCATAGGAGGTGGAGGGGCCTCTTTCCTCCATGACCCTACAGAAGTTCCCAGCACATATGTCCATTTTTGATCAAGTCACCACACATGCATCACTCTCTGTTTCATGTCTGGCTCCCCTCTGGATTGGGTTTCCTTGGGGGAGAAACTGTGTCTTGTTTGTTTGTGTATCTCCAGAGCTGGGGGAAAGTGGGCAATGTCTGGAGGCGTTCACTAAATATGGACAGGATCTATTTGTTGATTGACAAATCAACCATCTGGCTTTTGGGATCGGCCCCTTGATAGTCAGCTCAGGTTTAGAAAGCCTACCATTAAATCTCCTGTTCCTCTTTCTGCCAATGACATTGCCATTCTCAGTGTCACCCAGGACAAATTCAGTGGCTTCTGCCTCCTGCCTGTCCCCTGCAGCAAGCCAGTCACCTGATGCTTCCCATCCTTCTTTGACTCATCTCTATAACCTTTTCTCCCTGCCAGCTTTTCCAGCGTGCTTGGTTCCCACCATATGAACATTTCCTGCAGTTCCTCAAACTTGCTCACCCTCTCTCACCTCCGCACCTTTGTATGTAAGGTTCCTCTGCCTGGAGTGTTCCTTTCTCCCTGCTTCATTGATCTGCCCTCAACCAGTGCTCTGATCTCAGTTGATAAACTGGGTTCCACTTTGTTGGGGAAGCCTTTCCTGCTCCCCCGTACCTCTTAGTTTCCCATGATGTTGTTCCAATGTCCCCTGCCACCTCAGCTTCACACACCTCACACCTGTACTTATTAGTTTGCATACCATAATCCTTTCTAGATCGCAAAATTGCACAAGGATGGAGACCACTGTGTCTCCAGAGCCTGATGGTCCTCCCCATATGGTAGATGCTCAATAAATATTTATCTCATGAAAGAATGAATGAATCTCCAGAGCACCTAGTAAGCACTTAGTAAGAATTACTTGGGCTGAGGCAAGACAATCACAAGTTCAAGGCTAGCCTCAGCCATTAGTGAGAACCTGTCTCAAAATAAAAAACCCATACAGAACTGAAGGTATTGTTCAATGGTAAAGTTCCCCTGGTTTCAATCCCCAGAACCCAAAAGAAAAAAGTTGGTTAGATTAATGAATGTACA